GAGTAAAGTCTTACTTAGCAGAATAAAAAATATATATTTTATTTTATTTACTTTATTATTGATATTAAATAATAATTAATTTAAAAAGTATATTGATTAAGATTTTTTTCTATTATTAAAGATATTAATAAGAAAATTAATAATGAATTTAAAATATTTAATTCTTTTTAATAATTTTTTTATTGCTAATATAAGTATTAAGTTAAATGTTTTAATAATATCAAAAAAGTCTTATTATCAATATTTGCAATTTAAAGAACTAAGTTAATAATCAATAATAACATTATTATTATTATTATTATTATTATTTTTAATCAAATTGCAAACTGTGATATTTATTGATTTTTTTAAATAGAATACAATAATACAATAATACTATATAATTTTTATATTATAGTTAAATATTCTTATAAGCTGCAGTATATCTATTAATAAATTTAATAAATTTATATATGATTTTTTTTTTTAATATAGGTAAATATTATTTTTTTATTTAATTATATATAATAAGATATATATTATAGAAAAAAACAATATTTTTATATGTAATTTTCAGTAAATTAAATACTGGCTTGCCTATAATAATTATTTAATTTCTATTAGAAAAGAAATTTTAAACTAGTATATTAAATAAATAATATCAAGCAGCTATAAATACCTATTTAAAATTTGAAGAAATATTATTATAATAGTTAAAGATAAGATTAAATATATATTTTGAATAATTAAAGTTGCTTCAAATAAATATTTTTATAACAAGAATAAGATAAAATTGACAATATTATAAGAAGAAAAATTATTTTATATATTTTTTTTGGTTTGTTATTATTATTATTATTATTATTGCTATTGTTCTTATTATTATTATTATTGTTATAGTTATTAATAATAATATTATTTTTTTCTTTTTAAAGTTTTTGTTTTATTTTATACTTGTGAAAAGTATAATATTTGCTATACTATATTGAAGTTTTCAAATAAATTTATATATAATTCTTGAATTATTAATATTAAGATTACTATATTATCTATATGATCTAATTATTTACAAACTATTTTATTACTAAAGAATTAATTTATTAAGCTATTACTATATAATATTAATTATTATATTAAATTTTTATATTTTTTAGAAAATATTATTATTAATTATAATCTTTTAATAATTTATTAATTAAAAAAAAACCTTTTAAAATAATTTATTTTAAATTAAAAAATTAACTTTCAAACTTAAAAATCAAATTGAATAAATTTATAAATTTAATTCTTAAAATTTTTAAAAAGCATAAAAAAAACAAATATGTATTTAATTTATATTAGAGAATAAAAATTAAAAATAATAATTATAATTAATTCAAATAATACAAAAAATAATTTTATTATTAATTAATTATAAATTGAAATTAATTTTTATAAACAATATTTTATTATAAAACTTAATATTATATGTTTTATAAAATTTTTTTTTGAATTAATAACAATTAAATTTTGTATTATTGTTATGGATTTTAAAGAAAATTTTAAAATTGATAATGGTTTAATAGAAATAAAAAAAGATTTTTATAAAAAAACAAATTTTTTTTTTAGGATTTATTATTTTTTAAAAATTTTAAATTATAATTTCTTATTTATAACTGATTGTATTAAAAATTTTCTTTTTTATACTTTTATATTCCAATTTAATGAAATTTAAAAAAAATATTATTAATAGGTATTTTGATATATTATTAAAATGATTTATTAAAAATAAAACAATATAAAATTTTTATATTAATTAATTAATTTTTATATATAGTAGAATAAGTATTAGATGTTAATTATTTATTGATATATATGATATTTTAATTATATCCAATATTGTTTGCAATACTAGTTTATTGTTAAATATTAATATATTTTATTTATTATCTTAATAATATTAATAATTACTAGGGCTTCTAATGGTACCACTTTGATACTTGTTCGATATCAGTTTGATACTTAAATTTACTATAGATTAGTACTATTTTGATATCACTTTGGTACTATTTGGTATCAGTTTGGTACTTTTCGAAGCCCTAATAATTACTATATTATAGATTTATAGATTAAAAAATTTTAAAAGTTTTAAAAATCAAATAATTAATTTTTTTTTTAAAAAAAAAATTTTAATATATATGTTTTTTTAATAAAATATTTTTGTTTTATTTATAAAAATACAAAAGAGCTTATTTTAAAAAAGTAAAAAAAAATAAGTTTCAAAATAATAATAATATTAAAAATATTTGTTTTAAAGAAATTAATACAAGAATTAGTAAAAAAAAATTTTTTTTATTGTATTATTAAATTATTGATTATATAAATATACAATATAATTTATAATTAATTTATTGAAAAACTTATTAAATTAATATTATAAATTAAAAAATCAAAAACAAATAAAAAAAAGATAAATAATTAATAAAACAATATAAAAAAAAATTATAATTATAAAAATCATTTATTAGATTAAAAAAAGAATATTTATATAAATTAAAATTTAAAAATTAATAATAAAATTAAAATTAAAAGAAAATTTAACAAAATATTTAAATTTGAAAAAATTAAATAATATAAAATTAATAAAAAAATTTATAATAATTATAATAAAATTAATAAAATAAACAAATAATATAAAATAAAATAAAAAAAAAAATAGTAATAATTTAATAAAAATGTTTTTTGAAAATATAAAATTTGTTAAATATAATAATAAATTAAATTTTCATGAATTATAATTCTTTTTAATTTTGATAAATTATATAAGATCAAATGATTTTATAATAATTTTATAATAATTAATAAATTATTTTTATTGCAATTTATTTGCTTGTGCAACACTATATTTAAATATATATATATTTATATATTTAAATAATTTATTAATCAATGCAATATTACTTAAATTTAATATGAATTTTTATATTTTTTTTCATGTTACTAAGTAACATTTAATTTATAATTTTATAAAAGATATAATTATTTTCTCGATATATTGTATATAACTTGTGTATGTGTTTAGTAAGTAATATACTTGTTTTTACTTTAATATACTGTATATGTTATCATAAACAGTATTAAATAATTTATTACTATCAAATTAATGATTACCTTTTATTTTTATTAATACCGTATAATTATGGAGGCTGTAGTGCATACATACTGTATATCACAAAGATGTTACTTTGTGATTTTTATTTTTTTATTTTATAATGCACGGTACCGTGCAGCACATATAATGATGTGATAAATTTTCCTCTAACAAACGAAACGAGCTACGCGCAGTAAGTTAACAACAGTCAGGGTTACTATTTCTTAATTTATTTAATAAACAAATAGGTAAACGCTTAATCCAAAAATTTTTTCCAACGACTTTTCTTTTTGAGTATCCAAACGCATCCACTAATAGCAACAGATGCCCCAACAGTATCGCGGGGTTTGATTTAAGATGAACTGTTTACATCACATGCCATCAGGTTTCCGAAATTAAGACGACGCTGTCGCTCGAATTGGATAGATTGTCTCGGGAGAAACGCACCGACCCTTTAAATAGCAAGTCCAATAGGTAAATAAATAACCATCTTCTCTCGAAATTCAAAGTTAATGAGAGTAATTTGTATTTAGGTTAGTCAAATGGAGCACTCGCCTATATACCGTAGATTATCTTCATGCTGTTTCACGAGATAAAGACTGCTATCGGTTCAATAATTTCAAATAATTACAAATTCGGTTTCCTCATTCGTAACATGATTGTTGTTGTTTAGGTTTTATGTTGCAAAGCATTTATCCACTGGAATGTACCAGTTTGTAAAGGCTTATCTCACAACTGCCAAGGAAAAATTAGGAAGAACCAACATATTTGGAGTGCGATGCATCCTCACGACATCGGACTAACCTTTGATGGCTTTCACATGATACATTGAATGGTTTGCTTCGATAGAGGCAAAGAATATAGTGTGTGCGTACTAAGGTTACGCCATTTATCAAGTACTCAAATATAGTGATGAAAATTTCCGGGGGAATATACTGTATACGCATATATACAGTATTTCATTTTAAATCATAATGTTCTAACTATTTATAGTGTTGACCGAGTACCACTGCTTTCGTGTGTCAAACATTAGAATACCCAAACTTGGATGGGAAAAGAGAATTTTAACCAATACATTATTCGGAATTTGTACACAGTGAGCCATACGACATCACTTGACTACAATTCTGCATTGACATTTTCTCATGCTGCATGTCAAACTTTCTTTAAAGGTTATTTTGCAAATCACCATTTTTTTTCTCGCGAGAATTTAATAAATCAAAAAAGACCGAGCATTTCCCATTGACTAAAGAGTAGCATTGCTTCTTGGATAACATTCACATAAACTCAAAGCCGGATCTGTTTATTCAGCTCAATTTTCGTCAAGTTAATCGATGAGAAGATTTATTATGAAATGGTCGACACGTGAAAGTTAACGTCTTCGTTAAAAAAAAAAACTTGTTGTAATAAAAAGAGCTAATTTTGGGTTAGGATCCACTATCGTTCTTGACCCGGCAGTATAATTCTTTACCACTTCCTTAAAAATCGCAGGCCATTGTGTCACCTTTTTTGAATAAAACGAACGCCTTCTTTTCCTTTAAGCGTGAAAAATTTTTAATTGTTTGTCCCGATCTTTTCTCCATAAACTCTAAACTTTCCTATCTTTTTAATCGTAGTAAAGATCGGTCATAATGTCGTACCCCCGTGAATTAATTGATTTGTGCAAATATGTAGCTTGAATTGGGCATTTGTTTACCTTCTTGTTCTTATCAAGATAAGCGTGATACGCGAAACAAATCACAAATCACATAACACTTCTATAAATGTATATAAGGATGCCCTATGCCAACTGGAAGATTTGAGTCTTCCTTCTACTGGTTTTTTCATTTTCTTGTTCATTTTTTTTTCCTTGAAAAACAAAACAAAACAAACAATAATAATCCTTCCAATCATGTATTCATGCCTAGAAGCCTTTCGACGATTACCAAAGAGGTTATCATCACTGAGAGGTAAAAGCGATGACATCTCAAAACCCGAACCTGTATCTCCTCCCTTAGCGCCGCCAGATTTTGACGTTGAGCAGGACGTGGGAACATCCACCGAAACAATCGTCTGCCTTTTGAGTGAGGCCGACGAATGCCTTGTTAACCATCAATACGAAGAAGCCATAGAAATCCTTCAACGAGCCACGCAACTTGGCTGCGCCTCTGCTGCTGCTAAATTAGGGGTCATCTATCATGGTGGCATTGACGCATCCATTTCTCCCGATTATGAATCGGCTTCGGTATATTATTTTCTAGCCCTGAAGCTCATCTACATGATTCCCTGTGATAAATGGGATATGAGTCTTTTGCTCGACGTGATCGCTGCTCTCTCGGAGATGTATCGCTTCCGAATGAATCGTCAAAGAGATTCCGACATTTGGAATCAAGGAATAAAGTCAATGAAGACCATCAGTCAAACACTACAAGACCCTGTATGTACAAAATTCTTGACGCACCGAGACATACAAAAGTGTCGGGCCATACGTATCCATATTGATTATTGTCTTGGCTTAACTGCCGAGGCTGATGGTGATTTCTCGGGTGCTTTAAGTGCGTTCCAAAGCTGTACGAGGGTAGGCGAATGCGGTTTCAATACTGCCGACAAGTTGATAAAAAAGGCTCAAAGTAAGATCCGCAAATTAGAACCACAGGTGCCTCGGGTGAAGCCCGTATGCGTTCAATGTGGCTTTCAACCCAAAGAAATAAAAGATATTTGGAATTTGTTGGTCTGCTCCAAATGTCAAGCTGTTGCATGCTGCAGCAAAGATTGTCTGTTAAGTCATTCTGTCACACATGCTGAAGATAAAAAATCAAAATAGCGAATGATAGATCCTTTTATCAACATACAGTAGAAGAATGTTTTTATTTGTTTATTGGTAGTTTAATTTCTTGTTTTATTAATTCTACTTATCGCTTGTTATATAAATTCTTGTTCTTTTTGTACAGAGATTGTTTAAAAATTCTTTTTTTTTTTTTCTTTTCTTTTCTTTACCTTTTTTTTTATCGCGTACCGTGTCAGAAATCATAAAACATTCTCAAATCAATACCCCTATTTCTTCTCTACCGTGATCAATCAGCATAAACAAACAATCCACCAATCGCTTAACACCAATGGTGATCAAAAAGTATTTATAAAGCAATAAACTTGAGTTACCCCGTATTAGTAATTCCCAATTTTGTGCAATTGATGGTGCACGCGACCATCGAATCAACCAACCAAAAGTTCTCCCATATGATCCATTTTTGCGCCCTAGCATTTTTTCGGGAGGACGGAAAACAAGCACATTTATGATTTAGTGTGTGTATGACGTAATTAATACGTAACATTTGATAAGAATAATCCGAGAGGACCTTAGAGCTGGTTACTTTGGTTTCACGCGACACTGTCATACAACCATAAACTGGTAACAGATGGCGACTAAAAATGATACAGAATGTGATTGATTAAGGTTCACCTAATATTTTATTGTATAATTTATCCAAATTTGGATGTGTAACCGGAATTAAAAATTCTCGGGCGCCTTTTCCTGGCGGAATGAGGCACTCGGAATTAAAAATTATGCAAAAAAGGGAATAGAGAGAGACAACCTACCGAATGAACAGAATGAAATTGGGATGAGATGAAGAGAAAAAAAAATAATAATATCTTTTTTTCAATGGTCTACTCCTGAACGATAAGAAAATGATTTAAATCGGAGATCTGTTGCTTTCTACCGAAAACTTGATTAGAAGTATACTTTGTTATCAGGTGAAGTTAAAAAAAAAACCATTCTTTACATAAATGTATATACGCTCAGCCTGATTTCTTTTTAGGGGGATTGTGGACTATCATTAATAGCGTTAGCACTTGGAAAATTTAGCAACTAATTCCCGTAGTGAAATACAGATCGAACTATTTGGTTATGAAATCAAATATTTGGGACATTCGTTTTTGTGAATATTATTAAATAAACTTGTTTTTGTGAATATTATTAATAAACTTGTTATTTGTGAATATTATTAATAAACTTGTTCCCGCGAATATTATTAATAAACTACCTGTTTGGCTTAACATTTGTTATTCTACTAGACAAATTTTGGCGTAAAAAAAATCCCATGTTTTTTTCATAAACCGTTGGTTTTTTAAAAAATCTCATTCATTTCGAGCACACGGTTTATTATATAATTATATCACAGGATACGTAATGACATCTTTCAAAAAAAAAAAGGATGCATAAATCAATCAATCTTGCTTATGCAGAAACCGTGCATGAAAAAAAAAAAAAAAATTTTTTTTTTTTTCTTATCATGAATGAAATTGGGCCCGATTGAAGCCAAAGAAAATGTGACAATGTAAAAAAAAAAACCATGGCACGAATACGCATGCATCATCTGACCGCTTGAACGAATCGGTTAACTCTAATGTCTCACCAATATTGGGAATGACCCTGTCCGGAATACTGCGTAAACAAACGATTCAAAAGCGCTCCGAAATTATAACGCATGTCCGATAAAATATTTAATCAATTAACTATCAAATTTTAAAAATCAAATATTAATATTAACCTAGCAACTTTTAAAATTATCTTATCAACATAATTTGTGATATTATTAAATTAAAAATCGCAATTCATTAACGACAATAAAATAATTTTTATAAAAGCACAGCGTATTCATGTTTTTTTTAAATATCGTTTTTTTTTTCTTTTAATATACTGTAAATAATAAATATATATGTTGTAATAATAATAATCCACGTATATACAGTATATAGTAACAGTATATAGTATATTAAATATTAAAGTTGAATTGATGATATTATTTTTATAACTATTGTTTAACAACCAATTTATATTATTAATAAATTCAATATAGAATATATTAAAGTACTTAATTTCAAATTTTATAAAAATTTTATAGCATATTTAATATATTTTTATTTTTATTTATTTTAAATAAGAAAGTTCACAAGTTTTTATATAATTTAAATATAAAAAATATATATTGTAATAAAAACAGATATCTTTTATAATATATTAAATAGTACTAAATAGTTTAAGATTTTACTTAATTAAAATTAATTAAAAATTAATACAACTAAAACTATATTAAATAAATCATTATAAAACTTACTTATAAAAATAAAAATTATACTATATCTTTAAATAAATATTTTATTTAATATGTTTTGTTCTAAACTATAATGATTTTAATATAAAAATTTATAAATAAAATATATGTTAAAGTTTTATTATTTGATTTAATTATTATATTTAATATTTAAAAAAACCATATAATAATTTAGCAATAAAATTATTATTATTATTATTATTATTTTTTACATCTAATCAGGCCATATATTGAAGTTTTATTTGCATTCAAACTAGTTCGCATTCAAACTATTGGATTCGAACTAACTCCAGATACAAATGGATAGACATATCTAGTGTCTGACAGATCTATACTATAGGTTAAACTTATTATACTATATACTATACATGTGATAGAAATAGGTAGATCCTTGATGCAATTGACGCAATTATTTGATGCAATTAATGAGTCACTATTAAAACATATAAAATAATTAAGTCAGACACAATTATTTTTAAAGATTTTGGCAATTGAGTCAACAGCAAAATAATTTACACCACATATATATCTTATTGCATACAACTAATATAGCAAAGGATACCTAATATAAGTATGTACTTCCTAATAAATGCTTTGGTTTTGATCACTGGTTGATTTTAAACTACCAAATCTAGGGCTCTATAATTAAATGAGGTACAATTTATTAAGAGCTTTTCAACATTTAGTCTTTTAGTAAATACTTTAGTTTCAAATTTGGTTGGTATAAACTGTCAAATCTAGAGGTATAAATGTCAAGCAGGATGCAACTTCTATATATATAATAAGTCATTATGGATCATGTTTTACAAGATGTTAGTATCAGTTCAATAATTTTCTTTAAAGCTTCCTTATTCAACAGTTAATAGGAAAGAAAAGTATCAAGTAAGTTTGTTAAGATAGAGTATAATCTAGTCTATATATTCAAATATATAAGTGGTTCTATAGCTTCTTTCATAGATGATCATAATACTGTAATACCAACCAAACGATCATTACATCCTTATACCTTAATGGAAAGATCTCAATTTTAATGCCTACTGAATTAGTATGTGAAAGGCTTCTTATGAGAAATGGTATATAACTGATTATGGTATCAAATATCATATTAATTCTATTTAATCACCTTTATATGAAATTGAACTGATGTTTTGTGATCTGACCTGTAAAATACTAACTACTGTGCTATGGACCCACAGATCTTAATAAAAATAAAAATTATATCTTTAAATAAATATTTTATTTAATATGTTTATTCTAAACTATAATAATTTAATATAAATTTTTTTTATTAATAAAAATATATACTAAAGTTTTATTATTATTATTATTTTAAAAAAACTCTTTCCCGTAAATCATTTTTCTCAAAAAAATTTTCTTTTATAGTAATGGGCAAAATTTTAAAAAAGGAAAAAAACAGCAAGTGCTCTTGAAAGCCCAACTCCCAAGAGCAAATCAACAACCTTATCCTATATCCTTTTAAATATTATTGTAGTAAATCCAAATGAACATCTCTTTTCTATAATTTATAAAGAAAACAAATTAAGCAATATTTTTATCACTGAGTCAGCGAAACATATATATATCCCTCTTTTAACTGACTTTCCCAAGTTTTGGATTATTCCTCTTTAAAATCCAAGCAACAATAACAACTCTTTACAAGCAGACATTGTCTTTATTGATTTTAAGCATACAGCAACCAACTTCAACTCCTCTTTACATCTATATACAACAGCTTCACTTTCTATTAACAACATGAAAAGTAATATTCAAAACAATTTCAAGAAATTCTTTCTCTATCAGGAGAGAAATAATCTTACTCCAAGTATAAGAGAGATCATTGTAAATAAAGTACTAGACAGCAACCTCAACTATACCTCTTATCTTTCCTGAAATCAAGTCAACATAATAAATAATGGAAACAAATTCATCCTTGAAAGAATAAAAATGCATCAACACACCCACCACCCAACATATCAGTCCAAGAGGATGAATTAGAAATCTTAAGACAAAACTCTCTTGTAAACTCAGTAGAAAAAAAACAGTATCTCAAATTTCCAAAAAAATTCCAAGCAGCTTACCCCTATCAATTAATCAACAATACAATACAGTTACGCCAAATCCAAACGATGTACAAACATGCAAATCACTGAACACAAATCTCTCATATGATCAACAAGCCGCAGGTAACATGATGCAAGTGGATGATCATCAATTTGCAGTTATCCCTGAAGCCAATCAGGACAAATCTGGCAGTACCTTCAGATCAACTAGTCCCGCATCAGACACAAACATCTCAATAAATCCGTTGGATCAGAATATTTCACTGGATAATATTGATTCATTAATGAAATTTGAAAAACAAATACAAATTGATCTGGACGCTCTTCAAAATTCCTCTTTGAAAATCGTTTCTGTCCCTTTTATACTTTCATCAAGTACCCTCACAAAAAAACATGAATGTCCTGTTTCCAACTATCGATGAATCAAGTTTGATAGGAGATCTTATCAATTCTTCAAACCCCTCCACAATCTCAAACAGTACCTTAAACTTACCATCATTAGAGCCAGTAAATCCTAAAGAACAGAAAATCATCAATCTGCTAATAGAGAGCAATCCAAGTTCACAATACCCTATAGACAACACAATTCTAGCACTGCCAATCAATACCATCGAACCTTTTGTCAGTAAGCATGACATTATTATCGATTT